TACGCCGACTGTCTGTCTTCGAGAACCGTTGCTTGCGGTCCATCGCCCGTGTGTGGTGGTTGAATCACGTAACCAACGCTAAAGTCAGACAGCGTGTCTTGGGTGGAAACAGCCACTCTCTCGAGGCGCTTGTCTCGTTGTGCCAACTATGATGGTTCGGACACGTACTGCGTGTGCCTGCTCAGTGTATTCCGCGTTGTGCGTTGTTCGCGGTCGCTGGGCAGGGTTGGAGGAGGCGGTGTGGCGGATAGCCTATAAGTTGGAGAAGCGGGATGAAAAAGCTGACTAAAAAAGGTGGCCACATTTGGTTCCTCCCGACTCCGTGCATGGGGTCTCAAGGATGCTGGGTGCCGTTGGTTAGAAACCTTGCAAGTCTTGGCTCGAAACTGAAATCAGTGGCGGACCTGAAGCACTGTTTGTTGCGGTGATTCTCCTTTCCTCTCCAAATAAAAACATCGAAAACTCAAAAACTGTGAGTGGAAAAATGCAGAAACAAATTGTTTGTTTTCTTTCTTCTTTTACTCTAACCCTGTTTTCCTATTCCACCATGGTTCTGATGGCACAATATCTGTATACAGATGGTGAGCTATATATACATATATATCGAAGTGAATTACATTGTAATCGATTTGTGAGCACACTTACGTTGGTGAAGAGGGGCGCTAGCCGGCGACACGTCTCCTCGAATGCTTGCAGTTTCTGTTGGAGAGGAAGAGCTGGTTGTCCTCACGTAATATAGTGAGTCTATCTCCGTTATCCTACCGACACTCACCATGAGCAAGACGGCCAACAAAATGACGTTCGCAAGGCAGCAGGTGGTCTTCGCGTGCATTGAATTCTCCGGCAAAGACGACGGTATCGGAATTTTTGACTTTACTCTAAAGTTGGTGGACTCCGTGACAGAAGTCCCCCTTAACCGATGCACAACTGCAGTCGATTGGAGTGTAGACGGAGATCACGAGCAAATTGCGTCTCTCTGTACGATGGCTATTGATCCTGCATGAGCCTTGAAGTCGAACCTCACACAATCTGCTGTCAATCGGGAACCATTCGTGCAGCGAGGCCTCAGCTTTGCCACTCAAGGCGAAGGTAACACCAGATAAGCCAGCCGTATCCGCTTACTTGTCACCAGACTAGTGCAGAAAATATTTGGCATTGAGATCAGCAGGGGAGGTCAACCTAACCACGGTGATGGATTCCAGTAGTCGAGTCTCAGAAACGCAATAGAGATCGATAATAAGGATTCTATGGTGTGTGCCAGGCTAAAGCTTTGTCCGATCAACATAAAGGTTTGGAGGTTGAACCTTGTCACCCAAAATGGAGATCGGGGTCGAAGGAGGTCCACTGGCCGGACTCTGTGCTGGAAAGACCTGGCTTTCCCGGGAAACGTATCTCTTACGGCTCAAAGCCTAGCTGACTGAGAGACATCGATTGGACAGTTCAAGCGGCCATTCCTGATCGATGGAAACTTTTGTATGAAACTCACGCTGTGACATCGGTCTACATGGTTTGGACAGCCAGAACCGGTTTCTTGTTTTCGCTGGAGTCAATGCACTTGCGTGCTAACCCATTGTTCTTCCTTATTCGGGAGTCGATTTCCTGAATTTCCTGCATTCAGGTTATCCCGTAAGAATATTCATTTTTACTCCCTTAAAACTTTAGATATCATCAATACAGTCATCTGAAGTAGATTCAAAGGAATTAGTACTATTAACAGGGGTGAGTTTGACGTATTTTGGCGCGTTAGCTGTGCAGAGGATAGGAGCAGAACAGAACGACGTAGTAGTACTTATGGAATCTAGGGTTTTCAGCGAGCGGGATACTACCCGGTTGCCCAAGTTGAGTGATAGGTCCTAACGTTGTCTTACCTCCAGCTGTACAGTCCCCACAGTATGGTTACAAACCCGTTTTACGAAGCAGGTCTATCTACTTAATCGGCCGGTGGCCGAGTGGTCGGCACGTTTGCTTTCCAACCATAAGGTCACCGGTTCGAATCCGCGTAGGGGTGGGCGTCCTCGCGGTATACTCTGCCCGCGCGCGACTGGTGGTGGTCACGCGGCAGCAAAGCGCCGTTACGGCGTATAAGCTGACACACTGTATTATTATTATTATTGTACTGAATCGAATGCTGCTCAATTGTCTAAGAACATTAAAGCTGTATTTTGTCCGTGGAAATGGCACAGTTCGAGAAGTTGGTGGAGCGTGATGATTTGGTCGATGTAACCTTGTCCTGGACGAAAACCGGTTTGTTGCACTCTGAGAAAGCAGTAGGTAAAAGCCTATGAAGTATGATGGATCCAAAGATCTTGTACGTGACATAGATCAAGGAAATTTCCCCGTAGTTGTCTAATCTCCGCGGCAGCCTTTCTTTTGGCTCGGAGAAACTGTGGATTCTCCATGTGTTGGGAGCGTGGTTAGTCCAAACCTTCGTGAAAAGTGATGGGATTTCGTTGACAGCTACAATTGTACCATTTACTAATAGAACGTGAAGACTTGTGACAGTTCAAAGATCAGGTCAAGTTTCAAATCATCTCTTCGGTAGGAGGATCTGTGGATACAGACTAAGCCCCATCCGATGGAAAAGCGGTGTCACTAAGGTCTGTGCTGGATAATTCAACTGGAGAGCAAATTGCTGTACCCAGCGGTCCAAGCGCTTGCGTAGGTTTGAGATTTTCATGCCGTTTACTTCACGGATTGTCTGTCTGATAACGTGTGCATTTCCATCGGTGCTCTTAATGAGATGAAACAAACTGTGGCAGTTTCCAACCGAAGCAGCTTCTTCCACCTCAACAGCTCATTTTGATCACTAGGATTCACGATCAGAGTGAAGGTCTGCTTTTAACTGTTGAGAAGTAGACCGGCGGAATTCGTTATATTCCGCACCGGTAGGAACAGTCTTTTGACGGTCTAGCAGTTCCGAGGATGTTACCAAGATCCAGCCCTTAACCGTGCAGTGAGCGCGACGACAGCTTGACAAATCTGCGGACAGCATGGTTTGTTGCAGGCTAGACCAATACTGCTCAACATCCAAAGCACAGGAGAGATCGAGCATTTCCCGAGTCCTGTGTACTTGGTCCATTTGTCCCGTCACGTCTTTCAGTTTGTAAATGTTCACAGTATGGCGTAAGCAAACAATCTGAAAATGTGGAAATTACCGTCAGCCGAGTTTGTTTGGCTCTGTGTGAGTCACCGAAACGCAGGCATACCAATACATGACCGGTTTCGACACAAGTTGACGGATATAACCAGGCAATCCCATGTGCCGCCACGTCGCCTGCGACCAGTGGCAATTTGGTCGATTTGCGACCAACGCTGGGAAAATGATGACGCAATTAGCATAGTGGCGTCCAGGTTGAGGAAAGCTCCTGCTGGCGAGAAAAGTTAGTGATTGGCGCTTATACCTCTTAATCTTCTTTGTCTGAGCGAAGATCCTCATGTGCACACGGTCCAACGAGATGGTGTTCCTATGATAGCGACTGACCGACATTTGAGTCACGATCTCGTGTCATAATGAAGATATCTGTTTTAGGCGCCCTTAGTGGCAGATCATGAAGGTATTAATAGAACTAGTCCTTGACTGTACCCGTGCTGTAGACGTTGGGCGCGTAGGCTGAGATCACAATAGACAGCACATTCATTGGCTCGATGTCAGTTAACCTTACAAGAGCTACGGAATCTCACAGCACAGTAGACGAACGTTAATTGGAATTCATTCAAGGAGAGCGAGTTCGGCTATAGCACCAAGAGCGCTCCCAACACCGGCTTGCCCAGATGCCGCAGACCCTGTCCTCAGATGAAGATTGGAACGGGTTTGGAGGAAGGTCGGTGATGATAACAGAAAGACCGTGTTGGAATCCTGATGTGGTCTTATTCAGGCAACATGCATCAATTACTAGAGTCTCCAAGGTGCTTGGAAGTCCAACCTGTGGTCGGATCTGCATTACAGTACGCACATTGATGTTGCTAGTTTGGACCGGGTTTCAGGCTGTAGGAGCGACGGTGGGAGACATTGTGGCTTGTGGTTTCCTGTGAGTTGGTGAAGGTTAAGGGAACAGATTCATCGCATGGTCGGGCTGTTCAACGTTGTGAAATCAGTTAATAAAATGTTGAATAATACAATCAGACGATAGAAAAGTTAGTGGCGTTTGTAAAGTTGGCTTGGTAGCGGCAGTGTAAACTGTCATAAGAGCAAGTGGGGTGAGAGTGTGCTGCCATGGTTAATCAGTAGGAGACACTACCCGGTTGATTAGGTCGAAATAGGTAGCTTATCTTAGGGGGCCACCGCCATGAACCTTTGACCAAAGGGCGTAACCCACAAAGCAGTATGTTGAGATAAGAGTTTCCCACCAGTTAGGAGCCGATGACTGAACACTCAGTCCACAAGCCTTTCGTTTGGCTAGAATCCATACCAAAAACCCAAGACTTAAAGTCTGAGGCCAAGTCCGACGGTCGATTCGCTTTCCTGTATACAATGTCACTAAATTAGGCAAGGTGCAGTGAACATTTTTAGTGGCGAGTCACACCCGCCACATTAGCGTGTTGCTAAGCCAATATTCGTAGCTTTTGTAGACAGGACGCTTGCAAGGCAAAAACCCACCACATCCTGGAACACTGTCGCCTAACCATTTGCTGGAAATGGAATTTTCCGGGTCACCCATCTGGTATCACGGGGAGTTTGTTCGGCAATGGGATTTTTGTAAACAAATGTGATGACTTCTTCGGTTTTGATCCTACTGGAATAGGCCACTCGAGTATATGATGCATGAGACCACTTGCGGAGAACAATCACCGTCTTTCATTTTTCCTTAGCTTGCAACAGCGGTGGCTGTTTACACTATCTCAGCAACTCTGTTCTAAGCAGGGTGAGCCAACATACATTCTGTAAGAAGTAGATTTGTGCAAACAACCCAACAGTGTCAACTTGCCTAAACGCTCGGTAACAATGAATCAAATGCTTCCGAAAACCATATAATCATCTTTTATAACGCCTGCTTTCTCAGCTTTCTTCTACTTGTGGAAAGACACTTCAAAAACCTGCAGTTTGGGCCAAGCTTTGAAACGGTTGCGGATACAATCCCTGCTATGGTCCAATCCCTTCGGCTCATCTGGACCATATCTCGCGGATACAACAAGGACGAGAGAATGGGACCATTGTTACAACGCATTGCATGGGCCTTGTGTGATCGCGTGATTTGCGTGTTGGAAGTACGGCACCTGTTCAGGTATGTCTGTCCAATCCAGTATCCTAGTTTTCCTAATATATTTTGCATCATTTTAATTAGCTGGAATCGTCGACCCGCAGTTGATGTTAGTGGACAGCTGTAATTCATTGCAGTCGATTAGGTTCTTCGATTGAACCCACAATAATTTCGTGCTTGAAATAACTGCCTCCGTCGTTAAAATACTTTAACAATAACTGGTCTTAACAGTTGACATATCTAGGGTATAAGCGTATGAAAAAATAGAAATTTCTGTTGCTTTTTCCCCTTTTATTTGGACACCCCTTCGTTATTTACGGCTTCCCGTTTGCTACGTTTGGTAAACAAACCAGGTTTACCGTTGTCCTGCAGACGTGAGTCATGCCGCCTGTTAGTATGCATGGTGTGAAAGATACAGTACTTATGACGCGGACTGTGCAAAGGAATTGACATTTGCTTGCCCCTTTGTTGTATAATACTTTATCTACTTTATGACAATACTCACTGTCATCTGGCGTTGATGTGCAGTGGCAGTGGTAACCTACTGTATGGACTTGTTGAAGATTGGGGATGGGGTTATACTCATTCTGTCTCACTGTGAGGGATACTAGAATCTATACACTTTGCACACCACGGCACCTCTGCAGACGACATGAAAAACCAATCCCTTGCCAGATCTCTATCCATGTGGCACATATTGGCTTGTCCCGAAATCAACTGAATTTGGTAGCACACTTTTTCAGTCAATATTTACTGAAACGAGCAACAATCTTTAATCAATTTAACACCTGTTGTTGTCAACGTTGTACTGCAAATGATCGGGTAAGCTGACGATACCTCTCTCGTAGAACGAGCTGGACTGGCTGTCAAACTATTTGAGCAAGGTACTTTTCAATGTGGTCGCGCTCATCGCATTTTATGTCCTTGGTCTGATTGTTTATCGAGCTGCAAAGGTGGTAATCAGTATAGGCAAGGTTCCGGCTATATATGCTGGTTGCATAACCTCTTCGCTATCGAGCTGCTGAATCCTGAGATTTGTCACTTTAGGCACTTGATGACACGTAATTTCATGCAGGAGAAAGATGTGAGCCATCCTTTGACGCATATTTTGGCGTTCGTCAACCGTCTTTTGCAGTTGTTGGTAGGCGTGATTAGTAGTCTCTGTGGACTTGTCGGTTATCGGTACACGGTATATATATATATATATATATATATATATATATATATATTCAACACTTGACTACTTAAAAATTGGCATAGCACCACTGCACATTATCAAAAGCCGGAAAACAAGGAGGAGAGAAGGTGGTCAATGGTAGTCTCACAACACGGTCCTCATTGGGTCCGATTCCGGGTCACATCCGATAGCGTTGCCAAACATGCGTGCACATTGCCCTTCGGTCCCCATCCCGGTAGTATGGAACGCCATGCGACGACTAACTGCAATGTCAACACCTTGACACCGGATGTAGGTTGCATATTGGCTACCTCTCCGTCGCTTCCATCCAACGTCGATGCACGCAGACGAAGTGCGGCGGGGCTACTTTTGATCAGGCGTACGGAGGACGTGCCAGATTCGCAGAAACACACGCAATGAAACTATGCAGCTCAATGGTTAGCTGCGTCTGTCTGACTTGAAGATCCACCATTGAACATCGTTATTACTAATGAGGTGCTGCTAATGTACACCAGCGATGCTCTCGAGGAAGCGGTGATCATAACTAGACAGTCGTTGGACATCGTTCGCTTGAAAGGAGCATGCATCACAGCACTATTCGCACCATAGCATTGTAGGTTGGACCTATAAGTGGAAGGCTGAGATCACACCAGCGCCAGAGATGTTGTAAGTTAGCAAATGCTACTCGAGCCTTGGAGATATGCAAATTGATCTCATCCATCAATCCGCCTATGCTAATGTACCTCCCAAGGTAAACAAAATCGTGGACCGCTTCAAAATAAGAGCAGGAAAGTGTGAAGTTAGGAATAGTTCCCAATAGATGCCGCGGCGATACACCAGATCGACAGCATCATTTATTGCCATGCAGTACACCTTTCGGAACTTGTACTTCTTTTAATTTGCTACGATCCACTGACGATGCCTGCTATGGTTAACATGGAGCATTCACTATCCGTGTTCAGTAACGACATCGTTTAGCCATCGATGACTGCGTGATCGGGTGGGTGTGAAAGTGCGATGGTACAATGGTGCAAGAGCTACTCATTACTCAGTTCGTGTGGTAGAACTGGTTCGAGCTTTGGTACCATTCCAGATTGGCAGAAATAACGAGGAACAGTGGTTTTTGGAAGGCCAAGGTGTGACGAAACTTCACGCATACTTTGCATCGGATCCACCCTTAGAGCGTCCTAGATTTTGCTGACAACTTCCACTGGCTTGCTTTCGAGGTTTGACAGTTCGTAGTTCCCCACTTTTAATTAACGGAGCCAAAATGCTACCATGCAGTAACTTGGAGCATTCGTGCCTGGTACGTCACTCAGGTTTTGACAGGCCTCGGTCGCTTCGTGCCCTTGTAGAAACGAGTACAACAAACATCCGCAAACAACAGATTGATCAGTTGCCAATGTCGCAGCCACTGCTAAAAAGCAGAATAATTAGACCATGTAAGATTATTCCTCCAGCATGTCCCCTTAGGTACCCGTACTCAAAAGTCTACGAGACGAGCAGGTTTTCCTGGCAGACGAAAGCCAATTTCCATAAGCTTCGATATGCTTCGGGAAAATTCTGGAATAGTTTCGAAAAACATTTCAGTTGCTTTTGGGACAACCTAATACTCTCCATGCTGATTAAAAGCTGGTACTTCTGAATGCTGTTCATCTGGTCGAGTTCGTATGATGCTGTCCACCGCGTCATGAAGATGGCTTGGACCTGTCAGATACACTGTCAGTGCCATGTTTATGACTGCTACCTCGTCATTCCAGTGGTACAAATTGACAATACTGAAGCAATTGCGGCGCTACGTGCAAATTCATTAGGGTGATCGGAAGGAAACTAGAAAGAAACCGCAGCGGTAATTGATTGTACTTGCCTGATCACAATGCGAAACTTGATAGCGCTAGAATAGAGAGAACAAATAAAAACTTTCGTTTGAAAGGAAATTGTGCGAAAGCGCCACAGATGAGGGCACCGGGAACGGAATAAAATTTGTTTATTTTCCTGGTTTGGGTTCTGGCGGTTCATCTGATCATTCTTAAAGCCCTCGCCCATGGGAGCGGAATCCGCTTGCTAGATAGCTCCTGTGGCTGGCTCCTTCTTGCGTGGGTTCGTGACAGAGACTCCTTTCATAGCTTCATCTAATCAGCGAAAGGAGAAAAATATAGGTGATCTGACCAAAATAGTCCGCCCTATTTCAGCATACCTGCCATCCGGTCTTTTGCCCCCCACCTACTGGTGAATTAGTCTTACCCAACCGTTGATGCTATTAAACACCAGTAGTAATCACTGAGTATCGGTAGTCTAAGTTTTGCATCCTTGGAGTATTTGATTAGTAACGGAAATGTGCCGAATTACATAATGGTACCAACCGAGCTGTATTGTTACAAAACCTGACTATGACTGGTAATCATGTGTGGTTGTTTCGAGTAATGGCCGGGCGGCGTATCATTATGCAGGCTATATCTTCACGCAGAGACTAAGTAGTTCATTCATCGATGAAGATGCGACGTCCTGGATGCAACATTCCTTGGATTGTTTCGCTCGACGTGGCAGGAGGTGGACAGAATTGCATCGGATGATGGACGGTGGAAAAGAAATGAATCTGGTTTTGACACCTTATGGACAGAGGTTAGGCTCCTACAGTCCACTAAAACAGAGAAGGCTATCATCTCTTGTCTTTGCTTCAAAAGGCTGGCTTGCATAGCAACAGAGTAGATCAGAATGCTTGAAAAGTAGACTCTTCGGCCTGTTCCCCAAAACACAGAGATTATTTGATCCCATAATATGCGTGTAAAGTTTTCGGACTACTCGCTTTTTGTCAATCCCTAGCGCCACAAACAGAATGTGCGCAACTTGTACGTGTTTATCCGCCATATCATATGGCTTATCTGCGAGGATGATCAGTCATGAGATTTTGGTCCGTCTGAACCCTTGATTAAACTCTATGTAGCATTGGGAGCAACACGCACACCTCATGAAATACGCCAATCAAACTGCGCTTGTAACCCGTAAAGTGATGGCTTTGAACTGCCTAGTTTTTCGAGAAAAGTGCTAGCAGAATCTCTTATCGCGTTTGCCAAGAATCTTCAAACTTGTTTTACCCGATCCAGAGACCCATTTGTCGGTTCTATTTGGGTGGTCGTTAAGGTGTCATCCGCTGTTGCGGTACGCCCAGGCGTAAAAGTTAACTTGCCACCCTCAGGGCCATTGTAAGCTCAATGGATGCTGTGGAGTAAAGGAATGTGTTGAATAGTACGGTCGACGCGAGCAACTTCACTACACTTTCGGGTAATAATAATAATGAATATTCTTATAAACAATGACGGCCCCAATGATGAACCCAGATGTCATTTATGACCACCATGAATTCGCCATTGGAGCATTAGACTACTTCGTAGCTTCCATGAATAACACTTATCACTACCTGCCTATCGTCTGTCACCCACACCAATTTAAGGATACCGTTTGTAGGTCGTTCATCTGTGATTGAGAAGCCCTTCGAAAGCAAATAAATTGTAAATAATAATCGGAACTACTGCTTGCAAGGTCAGTGCTGATTCATGAAACCAATAGTATCAGAGGGACCAAGAACTGGCCTACGTACATTATAATGTGTACTCAAATTTCAAGTACCTAACAATAGTTGATAGTTCGAAAACGCGAGCTATAATGCATGCAAATTCGCTCGTATTCCATCCTTTTTGAGTTTATGTTCTGTGCACCAAGTTGAAGTCCCCCTTCTCAAGTATAATGTGTTTATCTTTGTCTAATCCACAGCCGCTCCATCAGAAGTATCATGCGCGAAGTGCAAGCGGCCATCCGCATGCTCACGGTGTTTGAAACCACATACCTACAGGAACGACAACGCGTGGAGGCGACTTCGCAAGATAACCGCTGGGAGTTTGATCGTAAACTGCTATTTGGAGACATTCATTACATGAAGCGCATCTTGACGGACATTTTTGAGATGGTTAAAGTGAGTGCCACTCGTGGAATGTCACATAGTCAGCTCACTACTTCCTTGCATTCTGTGCTTGTTGGTGTTTGTTTTCAGTATTACAAAGCGAGCACCAACAACGGATTCTTTCAGGTGTAACTCCATTGACCGTACTGACCAGCTTCGGCATTTACGTAAGTGCCTGAATACACCGAGATAAGATACCCGTTTGAAACAGGATGGGTACCATAGAGCGCAAATATTTACGCTGTTTAATCGCGCGTTAGGTCAGGCAAGTCATGTATCATTGTAAGCTAACTGGTCCACTATAATTGGGTCAAGTAGCCACATGGCTCCTTGCCGAATGCGTTTTGCCTTTTCGCCGCGTTAGTTGGACCTTCCGAAGCACAATAGAATGGTGATATGTTCTTTTGGTTGCTCTAGCGTACAGTCATCACCGACGAACTGGTATATACCACTAGTGGCGCTGTATGGGCGCTCTCTGGTATGAGTGACGGTTGACCTTGTCGGTATCCTATACATGCCACTTGAGCTTTCTGTGTAACTTTGTAGACATTCGTGGCACAGAGACAGTTTCAAGTATGTATTTGCGCTATTTTCTCGCTTTCTCGGTGTTTTTGAAGCTATTGATTCTTCTGATTCAACTACTTCGGTACACGTGTTGCGCGACTCAAGGTCGTGGGGCCCACTCATTTCTATTATAGTGTGCCAACGAATTTTACCACATGTTTGGCCCCGAACTGAAAAACATCACAGGAGATAACAAAACACTGAGTGAAGTATTGCGCCTTGTGGATCAGCTGTTCACCGCAATGAAAAGTCAGGTGAGTGACCTTGCCGATTTTGATTTTCAGGGAGTAGTTGGTTGGCCGACGCATATTTGCCATATAGCATCTATGCGGCAACGAGATTAGAATGTTATCACAAACATAAATTTAATTGTGTGAATACAATGGAGTATTGAAACGAGATTTTGTTTGGCCGAGCGGAAGATAGAAGTGACATGCATACGCCAGTAATACCTGAGTTTAAAACAACTGCTATCATTTAATAGGTGAGTTACCGAGCAAAACACAAAGATTTACATAACTTCGAGAAAGAGTATATACATATATATATATATATATATATATATATATATATATATATTTGGCATCTGGTTTCGGATTTGCCTGTCACTGTAGCCAGCCACAGGACGCCTGCGCTTACAGAGAGATCAAGGATGGCTTGCGCTACACCACCCACAGCTCCTTCAATACACCCCATATCCAGTGTAAACCCGAAGGAATATGGCCGGGAGGCATGTGGATGGGAGCCACGTTTTATCAACGGAGCCAGCCCACAAGCACCCTGTAGTTGGAATCAGTCGTTCACAAGGCGGTGATTGGACGGTAGTCCGCTCCACACTGAGTGCATGGAACCATTCTTCAAACCTAGCGCGGCCACAGGAACCTTGCACCCCGTCCCCTCCAGCAACGACCGACTGTCTGCTGGAGCCAGTATTGACGAGGCAGTGTGTAATAGACAGGTAGACACCTCGACAACATGCACATCAAGCGCAGCCAAACCAGGGATGTCAAACAACAGCCAATCACTTGAAGCGACGAGATCAAGTAAAATAAACCGAATAATGCATACAGATAATGGAGACAAAACTATTCACTAATTGAGCGTATAAATTGGTTACAAAAAAAACCCAGAGAGGAGTTCAATACGTCAGAAAATGTATCTTAAGAAATGCCACAACGACGAAAATGGTATCGTTAACTATAATTAGATTATGCTACGTGTGCGTTTATAGCAGATAGTATAGGTAGACATTAATTTATATTAAAAGGCATTAAGACAATATAGCAAACCCACCAACGGGAATAAAGACTCAGCATGCAAGAACGCCGTTAGTAACTCTAATGCAGCGTACCTACAAACGCCGCGGAGTTCTACCTACGTTCGCTGCAGGATCCGTCGTCGCTTCGGTGTTGGCCCCGAGTGGCGTGCCTGACTCAGGCACTCGCTGCCAATGGAGTACAGCCCATCGGCAGCGGTCGCTTCCGCACTTGAGCGTCTTCTCTTCATGCATGAGAGTTTTCTCCTGCACCCAGGCAAATACCTTCGTGATCTGGTCGCGCCGATCAACCGCTTCGATTCCCATGACTTCCAATCAAAATTAGAACGTGAGATGCTCACTTTGATCATGTCCTGGTAAGTTTCGCCTACCCACATCCCGTTTCACACTGCTTAGCTGACAATATGATAACCGCTCCACTTTCCGAATACCTACGCCAAACATGGGCGAAACAAAGGTAGCACAAAGAAGCACGCAGTCCACCTAATACCAACCCGCCAGCGAAACCACGGGCCGACGAATATGTACTCACAACGCACGTCTGGTTACTAAAATCGCCGCAACATAAGAACGCAAGTCGAATTTGCTCATGACATTCGCTGCACCTTTCCGGAGCGATGCGTCGTTGCAACATTTCATTCACCAATCATCTGTAGATTGCCTTATGCCCATCGTGTACGTCGTCTGGTTGATTTTCTACCACAACTCCTTCGCCTGCTGGCGTCTCATGATTTGCCTGTTTCCCTTGTGCGCCCTCGTTGATATCCATACTACTCATAAGTAGTGCACCACGCTCCTTCTCCAGTGTGCGCAACAGACGACCTCGCACGTACTCCCCGATCTTCGAGGCTGTTCCATGCATGCTTTCGTTTCCTCTGATCGTTCATACCATTTCGGCAATTCACCAGCGTGAACTCGCCGCCTATCTCCCTGCCGGGCCCTCTTCGGCCGATTACTTCATAAGGTACTTTCCACTTCGGCAGGAGTTTCCTCACTCCGGAGCCACATGTGGTCACACATTGGTGGTCTCTGTATTTCACCTTCGAACCGATTGGGAAATCCATGGACGGTTTTATCATATTGACTCGGGAGCTTTCCATCCTCCGGTTCTGAGTTGCGTTCAGATTTCGGTTGGCTTTCTGTCGTTCCGCGTTTTACTTGGCGTTACCTGGCAACTCGGCCAAAGTCCTACCTCCAGATCTACCCCCAGATCTAACTGGGATGGAGACCTCTTGGTGCTTGCTTGCTTGGACGCTCGGTGCGCTAGCAACAGTAGTGGCAAGGTTTCTCCTCAATCACCCCCTTTCGCCACCAACCATTCTTTAATCGTTCTATTATCCGTTTGTCTGATGATACTAGGGAGCGGTCCGTATCTTCTTTATGCCCACTTTCTCCAAATATGTCCGAAATTCGTCACTCTCAAACCATGGGCCCTGATCTGTCAGTATGGCTTTCGGAATCCCGTGACTTGCTATCACGTGTTTCATCATGACATGTGTTCTCGTGCCAGCGCGTTGATCAGGAATCGCCGCCGCCTCAATCCCTCAGGTAAAGTGCTCCGTCATCACGACTATGTACTGATTGCCTCGTCTGGTTAACGGGAACGGCCCCATCACGTCGATTGACCACAGTTCACCGACTTCGAACACTGGAATCGACAACATAGGTTATGGTGCCCCTTTCAGAAGCTGACATTGCTGACACGAGAGCACGTACGCATCGACGTCTTTCTTCATGTTCGGCCAGTAAGCTCGCTGCCTAAGCAAATCATATATTCTGGTACACCCGGTGTGAGCCATCTCGTGACACGAAATAACCAACGTCTTCCTCAATTTGAGGGGGATCACCGGCACTGGCGTAGCGTCGCGTCCTTGTGTCCACATCAGAATTCCGGCTTCGTTGATATGTAGCTTTTCCACTCTGTGCGAATGGCCCGAATTGTTGGCTCTGGTTTTGGTTGCGGCAGTTTGGTCCGGTATTCGTGCTGTTATCACTCTGTCCAAAAGTCTTCTCCCGTTATTCAGCCGGTAACTTACTCGGGTCCTGCTCCAGCAATAGACCACTGACACCGAAGGCAACACTCGGCAAATCCTCACCGTTCGTCATGTGTGATAGAAAATCTGCTGTCTCGGTGTTTTTCCCCAGTATGTGGTTTATCGTCAAGTCGTATTCTTGTAGGCGCAACGCCCATCGCGCCAACTTGCCTCTGGGGTCTCTGGAGGACCTCATCCATTCCAATGGTTTGTGATCGGTTTCAATGTGAAACCGTTGACCAAACAAATACGGTCGCCATTTGTCTACAGCCCACACATTTGCAAGACACTTCACTATCGAATACTTACGTTCTGATGGGGTTAAAATTCTACTAGCGTATTCTACCGTGCCTTGCTTCTGCTTCAGCACCGCACCGATTCCGACTTCACTTGCGTCTGTAGCCACAGTGAAGGTTTCCCCGGAGATTGGCAGTTTTAAAGTCAGTTCCTGTCTGCCCATCATGCCATGCCTGTCATGTCATCAAACGCTCGCTTAGCCTCTGGTGTCCAAGTGAACTTCTTTCCTTCGCCTAACAGCTCATACAAAGTTGACGCCAAACTGTTAAAACTCGACAAATTTACTGTAATATCCAGCGCTGCCCAAAAATGCCCGCGCTTTGAGGTCGGAACTGGGGTGCCTCGAATTGCCAATACTTTCTCCGGCAGCGGCTTGAGCTCACTGACCCACCGTGACCAAGAAGTGCCTCAGACGTCTTCCCGATTTGAGATTTCGGCCCATTTATCCATAATGCAGACTGTTGAATTTTTGCAGCTTTGTTTCCAGATGACGGTCGTGTTCTGTCTCCGATTTATTATACACAACGATGTCGTCGCCGTATAGGGTCACATTCTCTAATCCATCCAGTAGTCGCAGCATCAAACGCCGGAAAATAAAAGGGGCACTAGATAATCCAAACGGCATCCTTTTAAACTGGTGCTGTTTGTCACCGACTGTAAACGCTGTCTTCTCTCGGTCCACTAGTTTGATCGCCAGCTGCCAGACAGATCCAGTACCGTAAATATCCTTTTCTGCAGTTTATCAAAAATGTGTACGACTTTAGGCACCGGGACGAATCGGCTCAGCGATATTTCGTTCAGCCTTCCAAAGTCCACGCCAAAGCGGTACTTCCCATTGGCTGTCTTCACCAAAACGATTTGAGTTATGTGGGCTATGAGCCTCCTCTATTACGCCTACATTCAGCATCTGCACCTGCCTTCTGACCTCAGCTTCCAGGTGTATTGATACTCTTCTGGGTTGATGCGGCCGATACGGCTGATGGGATAGTGGAATTGTGTGTTCGATCCAGTCACAAAACCCAAAATGTACTATCGTCCGTGTATAGGATATCGTAGTTGTTCACAAGCGATTGAAGGTCTGGACTTGAGTGTAATACGGCCACGACCGAGCACACCGTCATGGATTCTTCGCTGTCAACAAGCTGAATAGCTCCGTATTTCGTAACCAACTTTCCTCCTTTCACGTCGACGATTGCTTCAATGACTTGGAGAAAGTCAGCACCCAGGATATTCTGCTTTGTGTCCGGCGACACGATGATGTTTTAAGGTCCGACCCCTAACGCAAACCACATGTTCCGCCATACCATCTATGCGTATATGATAACCACCGACCACTTTCACAACCATGAAACACGTCTGTTTTCACCCCATCGCTGTGACTGATTAAGGAAACCGACGCTTGTATCAATCAGACACCACTCCACTTTCCCATTCACCTCTACCATCGCCTCAATCACACCTTCATTCAACGCCCCAAGGATGCACCGCAACACGAAAGCAGTACGTTTGGTAGCATTCATTTCGTACGAAGGCTGTACTGCGATTTGACGGACACTGGCGCTTCCAATGTCCCACAAATGAAGCAGCGTCCCTTCAGCCGTATCTTCTGTGAGGGAACTTGAAGTGTCCCGATGTCTCGCGTAAGCTGTTCCGATCTCTCTTCTCGTTCCATCGCTCCTCCTTTGTCAAAGCAGCAAATGCTTCATGTGTAAGCTCCCTCGCTACTTGGGCAAGCTCCGTCAGGTCAGTTCTCTGGGTAGCGTTTACAATCCGGAGACGATCGGAGGACCAACCAAAAGCTGTTCCACCAACAGTTGTTATCTTGACTCGCCATCCTAGTTAGGCAGCAACCGAGCCAGCAATTCACTGATGTGGACCGCGAAGACGAAGGGGTGCGCTCCCGCTCCAAGCCGGGCCGCCTTGAACTGCGGCATCGCGTCTTGGCGATCGTCCGGGTCGTCGAACGCCGAAACCTGTGTCTCCTTCACGGCGGTCCATTCCAACTTGACAGGGCCCTCCCGCGCCGCATCCAGAATAGACTTCGACCAGCACTTGAGGAGGATCTGCAGCGTAGTCAACCTCGACACGTCCTACCTCACACCAAATACCTCCGCAACATCGCGAAATGGTCTAAGAACTTCCGCACATGGTCATCCTCAAACGGATCCGGTCACGAAACCACCACTCACCACCTACAGTTGATCACCTTCGGAAGGGAATCACGGAGGGAATGAACTATTTACGACGGAACGCATGTTCAGTTAATATAATAACTTCAACATAAGAACGCATGTCCAAGTTACTCATGACATTCGCGGCACCTTTCCGGAGCGATGCGTCGTTGCAACTTTTCATTCACCAATCATCTGTAGATTGCTTCATGCCCATCGTGTACGTCGTCCGGTTGATTTTCTACCACAACTCCTTCGCTTGCTGGCGTCTCATGATTTGCCTGTTTCCCTTGTGCGCCCTCGTTGATATCCATACTACTCATAAGTAGTTTACTATTGCAACACCCCGTGTCTGCAACTCTGTTGCACCAACCGATGCGCAGAATCCGTCGCAAGCACTGTTGATGCGACCGCTCGCGATATCTCACATCTCACCCGTATATCATCCCCGTTTCGCTTCTGTATAGAAGAACAGACGGCATCATGGATCTGTACTTCATCATCTTCGTGCCATCAGTAAGCGGATGGTTGTACTACACTCGGTTCTCTAGCTTCCCGAATGCTGCCGCTGCCTTCCAGATGGGGATATGAAGCTCACTATGTAGCCGTTGTTTAGTCGGCATCACACTCCAAAGGGCAATGTTATAATGCGGATAAAAAACGAAGCTTGCATTGTCCCATCGGATTGTCGGGTAGGCGTTTGCAAAATAAAGACAAACATGGCAATGGGAAATAGTGAAGCACTGCAAATTGCGAACTTGCCGATTACAACGTTCCCCTCCGTTTTACGTACCATCCAAGGTTATTGTCTGTGGTTTCCGGGCAAAAGGAAGGTGGGTTGGTTTGTTTTCGTTTTTCTGCTGTTTGTATTGGTCCTTTGGATTATGTGACATGGTGTAGTATGGTCAGTGCACTGTTGACACGTGTTTTGAACACGGCTAACTTGGAGGCTGAAGTTGCTGCTTCTGAGAGGGTATTCCACGTGTGGCAAACACGCAGCGAGAAGAAGTTTCTTCGACAATCCAACTAAATGTATTGTTCTGCCAAATTGAGACGATGAACTCTAAGTTGGTTGTTGTAACTCAGCTTCATTAGGTGACGGCCCAGGTGGTTAGTGCCGTTAGTATTTCGTAAACCATGATTAAGTACCCACACAAATGGCAATAACGTCCACTGAGGCGCTGTTTATATGTCAAGTGGCGCAGTCCCTTGACATTGTTGGTCGTCTAACGTTGTCGAAGCTCCAAGACCGTGAGATCCCGCTTTAGTCAAGGGTGCCATGTTTAATTTGCATATTCAACATGAGGGCGTATATAAGCAGGGGGTATTTGGTGGAAAATTGACAGTTCAAATTGCCCGAAATCGCTCCGTAAAATCAGGAGGTGGTTTTTAATAATTCAGCACCAAAGCTGATTTGCGGCAATATTGAAGATTGCACCTCCGATGAAGGCTGAAAGAGACAAACAGTTTTGCTTGTGTTGATGGTGAGCCCGAATTTGGCCGCTGTCAAAGCCAGAGCACTAGTCATGTGCTGCTACTCATCCGCGCTGTGTGCAAACAGCACACAGTCGTCAGCAAACAGCAACATACGGATAGTTGTCTCACAGACTAGGGTTCTCGCACCGAAACGACGGATGTTCAGCAAACCACCATCAATGCGGCGCTCCACACGAACACCGTAAGCACAAGCCGCATCAAAAGCACCAGACAACATTGTATGAAGATATATATTAATCAGGGAAGGAGCTAAGACACAGCCTTGCTTCACACCAGAGACAACTGCAAAGTCATCCGGGGTCTCTCCACTCAGCTGCACCCTCACCCGCATACCACTGTGCAGACATACAAATAACTTTACAAATTTACTCGGACAAATGAACTTACCCAACACCAGCCACAATGCCTCGCGGTTCACCGTATCAAATGCCGTGGTGCAATCAACAATCAGCGAGTACAATGGCTGGTGTCGTTCTCTGCACTTCTTCTGCAACTGACGAGCCGCAAACACCATATCTATAGAGCTGCGACCCGAACGGAATCCACACTGCTCCTCCGCCACGTTAGGTTCCACAATCTGAATGACGAGGCGGTTAAGCAGGATTCGGGCAATCACGTTGCCCACACAACTCAGCAAGCTGATGTCACGATAATTCGTGGCACATTGCTTGCTCCCTTTGCCCTAGTACAGTGGTAGCACGAGGGCATCCTTCAACTCAGGAGGCACCACCTCAATCCACTGGCGTTGCACTAAGTGTTATATATATATATATATATATATATATATATATATATATGCAGACAACACCTTTCGTTCATTTATAAACCCCGAGGAATGATGAGCTGAGCTGGCCTTGGATTTAATGTACGCCTTATAAACTATCGAATTGGCAATTTAAACGTGCACGTATTCTGGCAAGGTATTCAAGTTCTAGTACCGAGCATGCCGGAATATCTGCTAGACCACTCGTATATCGGAAGTCAGGGCTGTATGCATGCAATATGCACTGTTGCCCTTGGGTAAACTCAGTGTGAGTATGGTTGGATGGAACTACAGTTTGGTATTTTGTATTTCCGACTCTTATGCCACTCGATCTATGGGCTGCATTTGGGTTACATTTCTCAGGAAAAAGAGATTGTTATCACATATGACCGCTTAACAGGTGACTCACATCTTATTGAAACTGAGGGTGAACAGCCCTAGAGCTAGTGATAAACACCGTACTACAATGGACTGAAATAACTCACATATACTTTTCGCATAAACATGGCCACTCTATATCACAGTGTAAAGAACTGGTTGTGATATACTCTTCCTTGCACCTAACCGTAGGACCTTCCATGTCCCTATCTGCCAAAAAATGAAAAGGCGTGGTTAAAAGTGAAGAAAGAATTCGAGGACAGCGCGTCAATGATTGATGCCAAAGCGAAAAACTTTATTAATGATTATTTTGCCCACATTCGGGGACCCACCTCCGCTTTCGACTTGCTGGAGAAATTCAAATCGGTAAAAGCGCGGGCCGCCATCAGCTGTCTGTTGAAAGACAAATACCGAGATGTGCTTCGGAGTTTTGGAAATGAGGTAAGATACGCGGCATAATTAAACTAGTACATAGCACGGGTTTCACTGAAATATCAGAGTTTCTCCACCATCATTACTCTGTTATGCACCATTACTACGTGTCACTTGCCACATAAGTGTAGCGCGTCAGTCGTTGTAGCAAGTCAAAAGGTCAGATATCGTCGAGCGTAGCCTATACTGAGACTGTTGTTTCCTCTACTCTGTGCTTTCCTATTTTGTCTTCAGTGTTGCTGGAGTAGCCAACTCTCGTGCGCTTTCGCGCATTCCATCCAGTCGCCTTGCGCTCGGTCCTCCATTGGCAGTCGTGACAACACCGTCCAGCTAGCCACCATGCGGCTCCGACTCTTTTGTCTTTCAGTCCCCGCGGTCTACTATACCATCCACGTACACCCTGGACAAGGAAGTCCTCGGAACTCTCAATCGGACGCATACTACAATAGGTTTCATCGATGAGGAGGTATTGAAATCACAATGGCCGACATGTAAAATGCACACATTCCGTTGCTGTCTTGTGCAGTGGTTGGCAGGTGACGCAAGGTGACGAGTACCAGGCATATCCACGTTCCATAGCAGACAATTGATAGCGTAAACGTGGACGGAACTGCGACATGTCTTAATAACCGGTACCTGCATCCAAAGGAGATTATGGGCCTCGTTGCGTTGGGGCTTCGTGTCTGATCATCTACTCGGAAGTCAGCTTTCACGAATGCCCAGTCAGGCAAATTTCGATGACGACACTGGCTATGTTCCACAATCAGTAGCGTACGAAAAATGAAAGATTAAATTCAACGGTTCTGTAAGAAACGCTGTCACTGACGCGAAGACAAACACCGGCAATAAACCGAGCAGAACGAGTGTGTGTGCACTGAATATAGTTTCAACACCGCAGCGATTGTACAGTACTATCTTTCAAATCTACTTCCCATTGATCGTTTCCATTACGTATCGTACAGTTTGCTTTAATGCTCAAAAATCTGATATATACCTCTTCGAGTTTCGATTCACTCTCTGGCTTCTGCAACGCATGTTGTATTGCCGCTAGTCAGTTCGCTTGCGGCGGTTATTGATTATCTGATCTACAAGGCGGAATTCTCTCGCCAATTAAAATCTTGTCTTCCACGTCAGATTGTGTGGCTGGGCCGTTAAAGATCGTGCTTCACTGAAGGTCAGGCCTGACATTGTTGCCTCAAAGACTGGGAATTCTGTTTTGTAATTCAGGCTTTGGGGTTTGATTTTGCCACTACAACACCATCCAAAATAATCAATCGGCCAGCATCTACGTTTTGGCGGGTATCGTACCTACGTGACATGGAGCAGAACCCAATAATTCGAACAGGAGACAATTTAAAGCACGATTTCGTACTCATTCTTGTTTGGTTTTGTGCCCACCTCATAGACTATACTCCATAATAGAAAATGAATAAGACGAATATCGGATTTGTCAAGCCAGTGTTTATCATACTGAATTATCTAAAGTCCCGAAAATGATCTTAGTAGGTTTTCCGGTTGATAATGGTTGTAAGCGTCTAGCCGAGGAATCCAAGTGTTCTCTGGACTAATACACGAAACCATTGTTAGTGAACACGTGACGTTACATTGCGAAACGAATGCCTCGTAGGTAATTGGGTGGAATTATCACAGACACCTAATAAGAGACCAAGCTGCGTGAAGCTATTTGGCTATCATCCTGTAAGTAAATGAATTTCCTCACAGTGGATGAGAATAGATTGGGACGATGGGAGACGAGTGGCGAAAACAAGCACGGGTGTAAGTTGGTCTAATAGCGTCGCAGATGCAGGAAGGGAAATCGAAGAGGGAATGGTCATGAGTTCAGAGAGGCTTGGAAACAATCGGTTGCTATACCAACCGATTATTTCCAAACCTCGCTGAACTCATGACTACTCGATCGGTTTCAAGGGAATGGTCACATTCGCCTATGCGATTTTCATCCACTTCTCACAATAAGTGTGGTACACTACTGTCACTCACACAAAATTGCTATAACTCGCCTTAATTCTTGCTTGTGAGTAGTCATCTTTTACACAATCATAATGCCCCACGTTTTGTGTGACCCTTTCCGGAATATAACAGTGATTGACTTCTTATTCACACCGGTAAAGTACACAGAAGAGAGAATGAGCAGTATGACGAGTCCCTGTGTTACAGCTGCCAGCACTGCCTGTCATTCTAATTTGTCCGAGATTTAAAACACCAATTGGTCCGGTATCAAGTAAATACTGTCGAATGCGGATGGACGAAACCGAAATTCAGCGTTTGCTGACTTCGGTAACTGTCCACCTGAGCTTAGTTGCGATAAACCGTGGACAAAAGTTGGTGCTGACTCCAAGGATTAAATGTAGGTCTGCAACGCGGTTGGAGGTGACTAATAGGTTGCAGAAAACGCGTGATACTCCAACTAGCGTGCGCCAGCTAATTTAGAACTGCCTTACTTCGGCGCCTGCTATCACGCATGGCCAAGCGGTGTAAGACTCTGACCGCAAGCTGCGCGGTGTTTTAGGCTTGAACCTTGAACAGCTCAAAAAGATTGCGCGCTAGTAATGATTCCGAACGAGAAGAAACCGCTATCCCTATGTATGGTGCATGAATGACCTGGTTTACCGGTTACAAACCTGCTGTCAGACTTTGAAACCAGTGAACACCTTCAATCAGATAATATAATGACTATGGTAAGGTGTAGGCGAAAATGCGCCCTTGAACTCCTGGAGACTACAATTTTATTGAAAGTATACGCAAAATGCGTATTCAGAGCCTTGAAATACCGGTGGTAAGGCCGTTGCTTTCGTTTATCACTGTTATACATTACCCTTAGAGTAACGTCCACATCATAGTGTAGCCCCAGTCTCACCTAACTGATTAGCGTGCATCACAGGTTTTTACACTGATCCGGTCCAAGAAAAGGTGCATCAACGTCTTCATGCGGAATCATGTAAGATCGTCATAAAAATACTTGGGAGAGCGATTCGTCACAGATCACTGTGAACAAGTCGTAGCCGAATTTTAGGCTTATCAACATGAAATACCACTTCAGCTTTCCATTCGACACTAGTGCATACTTATATTGAGTTTCAGATTGGAAAAGGTTAGGACCTACCTGCAGTAGGGCCTTAGGTCATAGGGATCTTGCTACCAGCACTTAATGGCAAACTGTTGGACATCCGAGTGATGGCCAAAGTCCTACTGTTTCTGCACAAGCCCAGCTAACCGAACAGTATTCCACGTACTTGTATCAGATGCTCCTTATTATGAACGTAGCCATGAGTTGTGTGTGTACCTTATTTCCGCTTTCTACAGGTAGTGACTGTTTGTTTGTCGTCTAGCATTTCGAACACGTGCACCAAAGATTGACACATTATATCTCTACTCTGGAGAAAGCAGGTTATTCTCTATCTGAATTCCCTTTGTTTGTTCACACATCAGCTGGTCATGGTCGATCTGAAGTTCAAGGAATCGAAAGATTCACCCCCGGTGGCACATTATTTGCCACCAACTGCCGGTTGCATCTCCTGGGCACGCCTTATTCTCTCCACTGTGAAAGCCAGTATACTCCGATTTTTGCAGTCACAGGCGGATGTTCTAGAGGAGGAAGAAGGCAAAGCTGTAAGTGAATCTACTAGTTTGTGACTTAAAGCATGACAACATTGTAGATGGTAAATAGATCCAACTTACCAAGGTGTCCTTATCACAGACGACACATTGTTCTAATGTGAGTGAAACTGCACTGCAATTACGCCCTGCACGCTGCTGGTAGCTAACTCGTTTAAGTTTATTTAGCAAGAATTATCTGGAGCCTCTGCAAACACGCCTTACTATCCACAGCTGCGGCTCTCGTAAGTGCACTTCATGAAGTTTTAAGAATGGTGCGAATTCGTGGAGAATAGCATTTGTTTCCACTCTCAATAGTCTACTTTCAATAGCAGACACCAATACCGCTCACATATGGTGAATGTCTGAAGTTGAATAGAGAATGGGATACATGGTATCCCAAAAGGAAGGGTGCGGATACTTTGTGGAAATGTTCCAATGTAGTGACAAATGGCTTACTTCATCATATACTCGCTTTTCATCCAGCATCAGCATTTGCCCTCACCTTCAGAGAGACCGCTTTGAGTTAGACTTGTAGTCTTCCTACGGCCTTCGGAAACGCTAACTTCTACCTAAAACATTAAAGCGCATGCGTTGAGATTCTCGGTTTGAAAAAAACCCCGGAACATTCATAGTGTCTAGAAGGGAAGTGCTACAAAATTGGTGTTTTATCCAACTAGATTTAGAGAGGGAATGGTGTGATCTGCTATCCAGAAACAATTTTATTGGTTTCACGCTTGTCTAGAAAGCAATGTTAGTAATTTGAATGTGATTCGATTTAACGCAAAACTATTAGAATACGAGTTGGGTATTCATGCTTACAGAAGAGTAGTAGGAGCAATTGGATGGTATAGGTAGAAATTCCTCGCATCTAGACTCACTCAGACAACCATCACATAACCGGAAAAGCACTGTACGGCCGTTTTCTATTTTCAGGAATCGTCAGCAGTGTGTATTTCATCTGATCCTTGTAGGGCCCGAACCCGCCACTCGACTGTTGCCAGTCTGTAGTTAAGAACTCTTAGCTACGGGGCACGGCAACAGCCATCGTAAAAAAGTTACTAGATATGACATAGCGATGACTGTAATCAGTATGCATACCAAACTGCTTATAATGCCGAAAGTTAGCTGGTGGCTAAAGTCTGATAAGTTCGTCGTTTGGTGAGAGGCTGCCATGTCCTTTGCACGGTACTAACATGCAATTCATTGGATAGTGAGCGGAACTTTATCACATTTAGCAACTTAGTTACAACGGTCGTTGCCGTCCTTCGTAGCTCAGTGGTCTTAACCACAGACTGGCAACAGTACAGTTGCGGGTTCCAGCGCTACAAGGCTCAGATGTAATACGCACTGCTGACAATTCCCGAAAGGCGAAAACTCCCTGAAGTGCTTTTCCGAGCGTGCGATGGTTGTCTGAGAGGGCCTGGATGTGAGGAATTTCTGCCTATTCATGACTAGCGAAGTCGACTAGATATGTGACTGACTGAAGCATGCACAAAACCCATGGTCATAGCGTACCGCAGTTTCACAGTGGATGGCACATGGTTGGCTGGTTCGTTGAAGCTATCTATACAATTCGACTAATCACCCGATCGCTCACAGTATACCACGCTGCCGGATTGTCGATCGTTGCGTGTGTCAACTTCGCCGGAGGTCTACTTGTTGCAGATTCACGGTGATCATCACTGCAAACGTGTGCGGGACATAGCAGCTAGGTTGGTTTGAAGGGTCGCAATTGAATGTTGTACCCTAAAACAACTTGGTCGAGACATATAGGCCACACCCACGAACAATTTTAACACTAAGTAACTTTGATTCCCAGTGTGCGAATATCGGCAGTCATACGACAACCCAGCCGAAGAAAATGCGCGCAGGTGTATTTGCCAACCTACCGTTACTACTACTTTGCTGTAACCGAAACCACTTGAAGCTACTTTGCAGTCGGAACCCCATCACTAACCGAATGAAACGCATCACCTTTTCACGAGTGAGTTAGACAAATCGATTATCAAAAGACTACTGAATGTCGCCACCGGAATTAAGCACTTGCCTGTTGTGCTTACCTAACAAATTTCAAAAGGAAACCGATATCAGCAACTCTGAGGTACGGACGGTACGGGACGTTTCATAAACTTTTCAGACCGCAACTTGTGCTCTAAATGGCGGGAAACGATAGAATAAAGGAGGTTGATGTCGTCACTGTGAAATGCCAGTAATGAGACGTCACTTGACTTATATTTAGTCACAGTGTGATCTCACCATTATGGTGTAATGCAGCCAGTTCGAATCGTCTCACAGGTTTTACTGGGTCTTTAAGAATAACCGTCTGTTAACTAGTCTGGTCGTATGCTATCCGTGGTCTCCTACTGACTGTCTATGGTTAACTGGTTAGGTACCGACTTTGATCACAAACTGGTCTGGCTGTAAGATAGTCGTCCCCATCATCAAAAAGGGCCAGCGTATAAATTGCTCCAATTACAGGGGCATGAATCTGCTTCCGGTCGTTTGCAAGATTCTGGGGTTTATCATTCTTCGCAGGCTATCCCCAACACATAAATCATTACAGTGAGAAGAACAGGCTAGGTTCCGCCCTGGTCGCCGCTGCCTCGATCAGATTTTCCCACCCCGCCTGAGTATCGAGCTCCGCCATGTGTATCAAAAGCCAACGATTGTTGTGTTCCTGGATATCCGTGCTGCCTTCGATTCTGTCAACATGGCTGCTCTGTGGCACTGTCGGTTGAGGATGGTATTCCCAGGAAGTTCATTTCCATTCTGCATGCTTTGTATAGTCTGCCATCCGGTAGAGTTAGGAATTATGGAAAGCTTTCGCCTACCTTTGTTGTCAACAGGAGAGTTCGACAAGGATGCCCTATCTCTCTATACCACTTCAACTTTGCCATTGATGATCTCCTCAAAAATGATCTAGAAGACTTGTTGAACGCTAGCCTTGAGCTCCTCCCAGATAGTCGGGTGATTGATTTGAATTACGCTGATGATATCTTTTTGTTTGATGACGATCCGCAGGTCGTCCAACTTGCACTTAATCGCCTGGCGGTTGAAGCGTCGAAGTATCTCATGCACCTTTCACCATCCAAGTGCATACGCTTTTTCAAGACTGGTATACGCCCCTACCTGCACTCACCATTGGTGGGAAAACCTTAAAAGTAGTGCAGAGTTTTGTCTACCTGGGAAGCTGCATAACTTCTGGTGGGACTGTTGGAAAGGCGATTTCGATGCGTATCTCAACAGCTCGTCTCGCCTTCTCCAGGCTGAGGCATTTATGGCGCCGCCATGACATCAGTCGCTCCATCAAAGAACGGGTTTATATTGCTACTGTTCGCGCTGTACTGTTGTACCGTTGCGAAACTTGGCCTGTTCGTACCGACGACATACGCCGACTGTCTGCTTCGAGAACCGTTGCTTGCGGTCCATCGCCCGTGTGTGGTGGCTGAATCACGTAACCAACGCTAAAGTCAGACAGCGTGTCTTGGGTGGAAACAGCCACTCCCTCAAGGCGCTTGTCTCGTTGTGCCAACTATGATGGTTCGGACACGTACTGCGTGTGCCTGCTCAGTGTATTCCGCGTTGTGCGTTGTTCGCGGTCGCTGGGCAGGGTTGGAGGAGGCGGTGTGGTGGACATCCTGTAACTTGGAGAAGAGGAACGAAAAAGCTTACGAGACAGCTGGCCACATTTGGTTCCTCCCGACTCCGTGGATGGGGTCTCAAGGATGCTGAGTGCCGTTGGTCGGGAACTTTGAATATCATGCCTCGAAACCGAACTCACTGACGGGCCTGTATCACTGCTTGTTGTGGTGATTCCCTTTTGCTCCCCAAATAAAAACATCAAATAAACTCAAAAGCTGTGAGTGGAAAAGTGGGAAAGTTGTTTGTTTTCTTCTTTTACTCTAACCCTGTTTTCCTATTCCCCCCATAGTTGGGATGGCACAATATTTGTACACAGATTGTGAGCGATATATATATATATATATATATATATATCAGTTGATCAACCCTGGTTTATGTTTTGTGGAATCATTGAAGTTGTGGAAACGAATCACGATAAAGGATACCCTAAAACATGTCCTGGGACGGGACCGCGCGTGCTAGCCAGACAACAGTTACTCCATCCTGGTTTCCGACATTTTGCTTGACTGGATAAAGTTCCAGTGTGGCTAGTAGGTGGTTTAGTTGTCCGAATTGGGACTTTGGAAATCTCTGTAAAGAAGTACTCTTACCTTCATACAAGCCTCTTGTTTTCTGCAGCACCTGGGGTCCCTTGAGACCATTGTTATCTTACGTCACCTGCGTATACCAGTGTGTATTTCCTCAACAGGGTCCGATGATCGTTGGGTACGAATCCCGGTTCAAATGGCTATTTATGCTAGCATTAGTTCTGGCGACTGACCGTTGAGTTGCCTTCTCCAATACCTCCCTTCCAGGTCAAAGCTCGGTACATCGGTTTGGCAGAGGAATTGCGCAAATACGAAAAGACCCGTCATCGCAACTGGGAGACAGAGGTGAACACCATTGCCAATCTGCGCCTTGGTCAACCAGTCCTGTTCAAACATACTTCACAAATTCCGTATGACCAGGTAACCAGCCTATGTTGAACTGCTTTTGTATGCCTTATCTATGGGTCCACATCATGACGGGTTCATGTGAGCTCCATCCTCCTCCTCCTGAAGGTTGTATTCAAATGCTTTCACTTTACTACTACGCCATTTACAGTCTCAAGCACATACGGAACCACAGGAGACGAAGTAAATTTTCAATCTTTCTTGTCACTGCTTCCGGATTTACAGACTGTTTAAGCCTACGAAGCGTACGGAGATTCATCATCCATTGGATTCCAACCTTCAGGGTACCTAGTGACTGTAGAATTTGCGTAAGATACTGACACCTGGTTTGTCAGGTAAAATATTTACGCAAAAGCAAGTGAATGAAGGCCTATTTCAACAGGCATCAGTATGTTTTAATTTCTACGTGTATAGGACTAGGGTACAAATCAATGACCGGGTAGAAGAGCAACGGGATCGAAGGCACTTGGAAGAGCTTTCGCTTTTTTCTACAAAAACCTATCTTCATGAGTAGTTGTTTTGCCAAGGTTCTAATCAGCACCTTTCAAGTGAAATTTAGTCCTTTTCAAAGTAGCCAGAAAACTAGAGCAGTTGAGCTAATCTTGTTTCTGTCTCCCTCATAAGAACCAGCTGACAGGAAAATGGCGGAATGAGCAGAAACATTAATTCTTCGGGTGCAAACAGGGAAAATGTCCATTGCGCTTTGCGCAGCAGACAATATTCCACATAACTTGAATCCTTCTGCTGGGTTCCATGTCAAAACAAGCAAACGCACAAGCCCATAACAACTGCATTATCTTTGGTTTGATTTATCACAAATCTTCCTACCGAAAGGGTGGTCATCTATGAGGCCCTATTCCATATAGCTTTATCCAGGTGTCATGTGCTGCACCTCTGACAGTTGCAGGAATACATAAAGGACCCAGTGAGTACTAAAGCCAACAGGTTCGGAAGGCGCATCGATGAGAATCATGACAGTTTACGATCGTGACCATGTATGCTACTCTTGACGGAAACAGTCCTCTCGTCACCCAAACACTACTGTAACTTAGTGTCAGTCTTCTGAACGTGGGAACTGATGTCATGGAATCGGACGGCTGTATATTTCACCTTCGTTACTATCGCGTACAGCCAAGTCTGGTTGGTCACGAATAACTGCTCATTTATAACAAAATAACACATTCAAGTAGAGCAAATCTGCAGTGGCAAGGCAAGACTCATTCCGCACACCGCATGATATCTACAGGGTCATAGACTAGTGCTTGTGACTGGTGGTCCCTTTTAATGAATTATTCTGCCACCGGCAAAATGTGTCTGCCGAGGGATCGCAGGTGGAATGCACCACAACACCAACCGCTCCATTCAATATACCCTCGTCCGGTGTAAATCAAAACATATGATTGTTTCGACGTCAGTAGACACTCCGACACTCACATCGTCGATGCAAGAGTATGGATTAGTTGCACACCCAATGTGCAAGAGACCCGGTGGCTTAGGGGCAGCGGCCACGACTAACATGTCAATAGTCCAGGGTTCGATGACTGCTATATCTATTTGCCGGCCTGTAGCCTTAAGATTACAAGTCTGTAATGTACTCCTGTGGTTGCGGGTTCGAGTATGCACAGCGGACTAAGCGACCATCTCAGTATCCTCAGACCACGCGTGATTGGTAGTGGTTTCATGGCAGCAAACCATCTGTACGGCGTACCCGGAATACTGATGATGCCAAAGGACAATGTTTCGGTCGTAGCCCATTCCGTGAAGAAAATATTCTGAATCATAACACTACCACGAAGACTGTGCGTGCCCTCATTCCAGCTGCGGCTAGATGTTTCCTGATGCTAAGAACCGCGACAGACAACGGAGGAGAAAGCTCTCTGTTGGTCTTCCTGTGGCATAAGTTTAGTCTACTTGTATCAACGACTTCTCACATATTTAAAGTCGGGGTTAAGATAGGGATGACCAGATAAGGTAAGCTAAAAGCAGCAAAATATAGATGCATTCAAACATATTTAAACAAATTTTCCGTTAGTGGAGGGATTCGATGTGGCTCTCTCCCACCCCTGCACCTCATGACCGACGGTTTTGTCTTTGTTAAGACTCATCAGGTAAAGATAGCCGTGCTGGAAGTGGAACTCAGCGCATAGTGCTTCGCTGCTATCGCCATGATCACTAGGAAATTGAGCACCGCGAACAGTATTTGACACAGCGGTTGGAAGTAGATTTTCAAGTATTGGAGCACCCGGCTTGTGTCTGGGTTTGCGAAGCGCAATCTCACTGGTGGTGTCGGTTGAATTTGAAGTCAACCTCTACTAACACGGTCACCAGGACCGTCACCGATTTGGAGGGATTCGGTAAGACTCCTTCCCATCCCTGCACTCTACGGCCTACGACTCCCACTTCTATTACACTCATCAGGTAGGGATAGTAGAGCTGGGAGTGAAACTAGGCGCATAGTACTCCGCGAAACCGCCATGGTCCATAGGCCATTGAGCTGCGCGAGCAGTGTTTGACACAGCGGTTAGAAGTAGATTTTCGGGTTTTGGAGCATTCGCCGTGTGTCTTGGATTGCGAGGCGCAATCCCGCTCGTGGCGCCGGTTGACTTTGAACTCAGCCTCTGCCAATACGGTCACTGGGACCGTCACCGTATTGGAGGGTTTCGATGTGGCTCTCTCCCACCCCTGCACTTCACGACCGACGGTTTTGTCTTCATTAAAACTCATCAGGTAGAGATGGCCGTGCTAGAAGTGGAACTCGGCGCATAGTGCTTTGCGGCTATCGCCATGATCACTAGACAATTGAGCTCCGGGCGCAGTATTTGACACAGCGGTTGGAAGTAGATTTTCGAGTATTGGAGCACTCGCCGTGTGTCTTGGATTGCGACGACCAGTTTCACTCATGGCGTCGGTTAACTTCGAAGTCAGCCTCTTGTAATACGGTCACTTTGACCGGCACCGAAGTGGAGGGTTTCATTGTGGCCCTCTCCCATCCGTGCACTCCACGACCGACGGTTTCGTCTTTGTTTAGAGTCATCATGTTGGAATAGCCGCGCTACCCTATCGACATAGTCCGAGGACTAGTTGATGACAGGACAACATGTCCTAGTAAATCTCTCGCAGCTGTTTACGCCCCGTGCTATCTGGGTATGGTTGTTAAGTGGCCTCTGTCCATCTGCATCCCTTGCTTGCACACCGAACTTTTTGGGTCCGGCTGTAGTGGTTTTTGCAACTTTTCTACCTCGTTCTTGATATGGCCAAACCGTTGTCGGCAACTGGATGCAGTTTATTCCCCTCACTTAAGAGTAGATTTGGCCGTGGCAACTTAGCCATTATATACTGATGTTTCAGATTTTGTTGCTGCACGTGTGCTTTTGTACTGCGCTCACCTGGATCTATATCATGCGTTTCGATATTTCAGTCATAGTTATTCGACGACCATCGTCGAGCCATCTAAGGTATTGCCGTAACAACATCAAATGTAATCCGTATACAGTACCCGCTGGTCACTTCCGTTTCAGGCGCTTTTTCCCAATAAATAATATACAAACTCTAACTAGGCATCGTTAAACTCGATTCCGTTATCTAACATTTTTCTTGTATTGCAACCAAATTCCGCCGCCATATAGGAGGACCAGTAGTATTATTGAATCGTACTTCGTCATCCAGATCCACATGACAGGATAATGTTTAATTCATAGTTGATATTCGGCTTACTGGAAACCGCCTTCGATCTTAATTCACGTGTGCACAACCCGGCGTGTCATCGTCGATCTATTGATTGGGAAGTTACGTCATAGTAGAATGTTTGCTTGTTCTGTGTGGTACTATTGCGAACAACATACTTATTCCACTCCAGATGACGTCTTAAAAGGATGTACACTTTTACCTGCCTCGAAGGTAAGCACAAATTTGGAGATCCTCTTAGTAACTGCTGCCATCAGTATTTGTAGCTCATTCTCACTGTGTACCAACAGTGTACCGTCGCCCGCAAGCAACAACATTCGGATGGTTGTCTAATTCGTTAAACTTCCAGATGCGAAGCAGTGCATATCCATTAACTCAATATTCATGCTGTGTTCGAGGCAGACACCGCATTCATATCAATTGATTGGAAATGGACGCATGGTACTGAAACTTGTGTTATGGAAGTAGGGGATGATACAGTCTTACTTCATATCAGAAGTAGCATCAATGTTCCCAAATATGTGGTCACATGCTCGTGCTTTAGCCGGTGTACTATTTTGCAGATGCTCAATCAAATGTATCCGTCCACTGTGGCACCCAAGCCTACCCAGAACCAACCGCAGCTCTTAACAATTCACTATATCGAAAACGTTTCTGAAACCGACTAGCAGCGGAGTAAACTGCTGGTTTTGTTCGCGCCACTTCGTTTGCAGCTGAAGAGCTGCGGACACAATGTCTACTACTCTGTGACCAAATCTACATCTGTTTGTTCTTCGCCCACTTTCGGTTCCATCACTTGACCTCAATCCGAGTCGTAGCCAGAATTTATTACTTAATGCCATGAAAGCTGTTGGGAAATTTCCAACATTCTCTTTATTCAGGCATATGTAGCAAAGGTTCCGCTTCCGCATGCGTTAAAATTAGGCGGTCGGGTACATGCGGCGGTCACAATCCGCGACTCCTGAGTAATTCCAGCAATATTCCATCAGAAACAACAGCTATACCCCTGTGCAGTTGTGCAGCCACTCCTTGTGTTCACTTCGTTCCCCGGGATACTGGGAAGCTTTTCAACACACTTTGTTCATGCATCGCGTGCAACCAGTACTACTTGATATTCCATCTGCCTCATTTTCCGCGCTCATCATGTACTTCTAACACGATGGTATTCCAGTTAGTTTTTGGTGCTTCCTGCAAGACTCCCTCCCATGTTTCTCATTAGCCGTGACATCATTATGAACAGAAATTTGGGCTTCTAATCCAAAGGTAGTATACCAATGATCGCGCTGCTTTTGCCAAATTATTTGGACCAACAGGATCCTAAGCACGCGATCATCTTCTCTGCAGTGATGTTTACCTGTTAGTTTAGATGCTTCTTTACGACGCTGGCTGAATACTGCAGCTGAATGTGTCGTCATTTTTTTCCGGCTAACACCTGTCCTCAACACCACGAAGGAGTTGCATTAAATTTCCATCAGTACCTGCAAGTATGCAATCGTGTGTTATACCGTTTGCTCACACCAATTCACAGTTCGTACACTATCCTCCCTCTACTGCACAAATGCCATGTATACATACCTCATGCTCTTGATACCCAGGGATACTAGATGTTCGTGCTCGTCAAGCCTTTAATGGCCACACTGAGAACAAACGACGCCGTTCGTATCGATTAGAGAAACAGCACAAACCAAATACAATCACGATCGACGCCCACTCTGAAAGTTTTCCTGCGCATTGGCCGTACCCCTGAGAATAGCCGAGAGTACAACCGACATCATTGGTCATCAGGATAATATGTCATGATAGAACACATGGTAACAGGTAACCCCTGCTTTCTCATCCGATGCACGGGTGAGGTGACATTATCCCTGGGTTAAGGCCGACTAGATAATCTGTCAACCGATCTTTCAAGTAACCCAATGTCGGAAAGCAAATATTACGTTGTGTCGTATTTGCTTTCCTAATGTAGCAGAACATGTAACTAGCGCTCCCTAGGTGCAAGTGCTTCAACTATTTGCTTCTAACCGACTACCCCAGAATCAATGCTATAGGGATCGAGCTCCGTTGCGATTACTCCAAAGTTCCTACATCAGCATCAGATTGTTGTCCGATCTTGTGCCGTGTACATAGTGGAGTATTCAAGCCGTGGTGCTTTCCGTGAATGCACACAATTAGATCGGGTGACCGGTAGAATGGTCGCGTAGGTGAATGGCTGACTATACGGTTGGTAAGAAAGATCAGGTGAACTAGAGCGTGAGAGATGTAGCTTCTGTAGGTTATTCATTATAATTTCTTTTGTTCTCTCAACTTTATGTATTAGGAAAAGATCCTCTCCCTCGCTTCTTTGCCGGACAACACAATATAAGATTAATTTAACGTGTGTATGGGGTTCACTTTTGTGTTATGAAGTGTCATGCTGCCAAAGAGTTCAAGCATGAGCAGAACCACTTTAATACACTGTATCTAAGTGGTTAGGCGGGAAATGGGCAAGGCTTAACTTGACCCACGCGGTTGCATCCGAATTCTCGATTAGAAACCCGGCATAATCTAGCTCCTGCCCAGCAACCGTCAAGAGTTGGATAGATTTACTTACCAGGACAACTGCCGGTGATTGGTTGACGGACACGCTCATCAACGGTAACTCAATTGGGTTAGGAAAGACCGCTTAATCACTACTAATCAAAAGCGTGGTTAAGCAATAAAATAACCTTGTGTGTAAGTACATCAACTGTTGTCTGTCTGTAAGACGCCATGCATATACGCTTGAGACGTGATACTGGGTTTGAATGGAAATGAGAGTTCAAGTAACCTTTTCTAAGCAACTTGTAAACATTAGATAAAGTGTCTGTGAGCAAGTGTGTGAGAATGCGCGCTGTGCTTAACAGATCCATAAAATCGTTTTGCACGATTCATCTGACCATGTTCTTTCGCGTGTATTAGAGAGACAATGCGGGAGTCAAGCCGCTGTGATGAACCATTGCCACATGGGCATCAGACTTGCAGGTGGGGACACACAACGCGAGAGGCGAAGTATCTCCTCTTATGAATTGCTGAATGTCCTGGTTACCGCAGAACGTTGTAATAGTGCACGCACATATGGATGTTGTAGGCAGCACAAATATCATGGACCACCAGATATCTACGCTACGCATGATTAAGCAAACAAACATAAATGTTTCAAGCTACAAAGATCATGTAGCGGTAGTGTACTGCTCCCCAGTTATTTGAACTCGGACGATAAAAAGCAGCGCCTTGAAAGTGGCCCCCTTCAAACGAAGCTCCTTGTTCCTTAAACCGTCTCCATGAAAACTGCATTGTGGGATTAAAAAGAAATTTATATTCGTACTGTACGAACGAAATTTCATCAAGTTTTATTAAAGTGTCAGTCAACTGTTGATACTCGAATCGTTTTTTGAATTCCTAGGTGGCATTTTAAAGTGACTTACAGGATCACTGGGCTCACAAATGCGAGATGCCACTGTCACTTTAAACGAATCTTCATAAGGTAACACCGGTTATCTGTGGTGCATATTATACTAGCTGGCAGATAATAATGCTTAGGTTGTTAAACAAAAACGAAAGAGTTCTCATGCATATGTTATGCCTTCGGGTCAGGCAATTGCTCTAACCGTTTGACTGTCACGATAAATGCGTGCAAAAAGTACCGCACGATTCACAGTCATTGCCATACACAAAAACTTGAAAAAAACGATCAATTTTATTTGATAGACTTGCAATAGAACCCTTCGAACCAACCGCTGACTGAGCGGGATAGTCCTGATAACTACCTCAGCTCATCGCTAGACATTTGCAGGATCCTAGTTGGACACCCTTAGTATTCAGTGAATACTGCGAAATGTACCTTACTAAACTGCCGGCAGAAATTGTTCGCTGCGTCGAGTTTGCACGTCTGAAGGTAAGCAGTGATGTGCAATAGCACAGCATCATGCATCGGATCTGCGCTGCGCGCTCTTCGTCCAGCCCATGGATCGCACCTGTTCACTCACACCAAGCCAGTTGCAGCAAGTGTGGAAGAAGCATAAATTTCACACGCCACTTCAATCATTGCAAGTGGTACATTAGCCATAGAAACCTTTCCTTAGCAAGTGCTGTACTGGAGCAGCCATCCCAATTACGTTGATGCACCAGTTTCTGGTACCGAAGCATTTTTTAGTTTGTTACTCGCTGCGCACGAACGTATTGAAGGTGAGTATGAACATCGTTTCGAAAAGGGGATTTAACGGCCATTTGTTTATTCATCACTCTGAAAACCACACATTTTAAGATATTTTCGGCCACCGCCTGATTTAACCTTTAAGGCTGCTTGCGTATTCAAGTTAACTTTGCTACCCGCTACCACACATCCTGAGGACTTTGTGCAGGAGCCATATCAGCAATTGGCTTACGAGAGTATATTCCATATCCAACCTACTGCATTTTTGAAATGACAGTTAAGTAATGTAATAGCTTAACTGTAAACCATCATAACTCAGTTACTTTTAAGGTGCAGCACTTCCAAGGCCAGTTCATAACATCGCGACATTTGAGTAAGTTATAGCTCCATGGGTTACATATCGACTGGACATCCATTCTTCCTACTATCCATCTACTACTCATGTTTAGCGGAATACCACTTCACACAATATGGCTTATGCTTTCGACGCTGGGCCTTCTAAGTACTCGTGTTTGTCGCCACAATTCAATCCCGCGCCTCGTTTTCACAGACTGTTCGAGCAATCTACCCGCCTCCGACTTGGTGGGCTGGTGCAAGAGGAGAAACAGGAACCATTTTGGTAGCACCTCCTCCCCCACAAGCCCAACTGCTGCGACAAGTTACACGGGATCAAGCTCCTGGACAGAGTTTAGTGAGAAGAATGTCGTCTAGTCACATGCAACGCACCCGCGTCTCTGCGGTGTCATGGACAAGTCAAGGCGAACGAACTTCCTTGGGCACGACCCCACTAATTCCTGAAGGTGAGATGGTTTATAGGAAATTCAGCCCCGATTGATTTACTGCTAATCCTGATCTAACTGCCTAGAGGGAGTAGAGCTAATCTGAAAGATTTCACTGGTAGTCTGTTCTCACCTGCTTAGTTGAGCTGCTTAAGGCGACAAACATGTTTATGTCTACGCAGAACTATCGTACCTGCATGGATACATGATGACGCCTTGGGGTTAATACTTAGTAAACTTACTCTTATTAGGTTACTCAATCGGTTCACAACAAACGTAATGAATTTTCGCTCATTTATGCACATAAAAGTCGTTTGGTTGCCCAGTTTTGGTTGTTTGCGTGTTCCATAGATATTTGGAAAGGTCGTCACAGAACACTGGCTTGGTCCGAACGTTGCATAAGTAACACTGCTGAGTATTCCGTTACCAGCTCGATGAGATTATATATATATATATATATATATATATATATATATATATATATATATATATATATATATATATATATATATATATACGGTTCCGGTTTCAGTTATACGCTTGTATACACGTTATATCAGGACGGAATAGTGTAGATTAAAACTAAGGAAAAACTAAACCCGTGGTTATCGACCAAATTGTACTTTTAATTGAGGAATATTAACCACCAGCAACATGCCAAGAGATCAGAGTGTGTTGAGAAAGTCGAATTAATCCACAGTTTAGTTTGAGTGCTAAACGGAGAGAGTGTATATTCGGGGATGTGAATCTACATGTACAACACACGCAACACAATTGCTTCCATATTATCGATGGAATTACGGAACTGCAGATTTTACTCTAATTTTTAAGCTCGGCCAGTAAAATAGTGCTAGAACTTATTGTTTTTAATGTTAGTAAACCGCATCCTTCTGTGACCAGCTGTACCATCGGTAAAATCCGCTCACTGTGCATACATTTGCGTATATTTCATCAGGCTACCTACCTGTGTACGAGGTAAACTTCGACTCAAAGTTGTGGACGGTAATCCAGGAAACAGCGCGACTTGAGTTACTCGGACTGCCTCTGCCCGAAATTGGTCGCTTCCTCGGGTTGCGGGTAAGTTCACACGTTTAGTGGTATACATCCTCGGTGCGTACGTGCAATGTACAGCACAAAGCTTGTATGCTTTTTGTCCACCCGTGCGCCGATAACGCACCACTACTAAACCCGCCGACATGGCGACAGTTCCAGCTAAACAGGCGACAAATAAGGCTGCTTAAACTGTGTGACCAGCGTGATCTAAAAGCGCATACAAACCACCTAACCGGAAAAGTTTGTCCGACGGAACTTCAGTTAACAAAAAACCCGAGGTCAATCGTAGTGCAGAGATGATCTCAAGAGTCAAATGCTTGTTCTGTGCGAAGTCCTACGATGCATAAAAGATGACGGAAAGTACAGCATACCGACAGATGGGATCCGATGCGGCGACGCATGTTCAGCTGGACCCAGAGATAGGATTGTTCAAACGCTTAAGATAAGGTGTGAAACGTTGGCCGCTACGTCAGTAGAGCAAAAGAAAATGATAAAGATATTGGCGCGGGGGGATACCTGAACTCAAGTTGCCAACGGATGTATTACGTATTCCTACCTCAAGATTTGTTAAAGATACCTAACCTATAGCAAATGTGCTACGCAGTACAGCGAGAAATGAACACTGTTAATTAAAACAGCACTGACGACAGGCCGATTGAACGGTCTCCCAAATCTCACGAAACGCTGCAAAGCATGCAGAACAATGCACAAATTGCACGATCACCTCCGTGAATAGCTGGGCAACGACACTTGACTCCTAAGGGTTGTACGATAAACGGCGTTGCACATAAACAGTCATGCTGTAAACTTGGTCTGTCTTCCACACTACACCTTTTAACAGGCAACTTCACGCATATTGCTAATAAGTTAGCTTATTAAAAGAAAATCAACATAACATGTTCTTCATTCAAGTTCACTCGCGCATCAATTTATTCTCTCCCTGTGGGCTTACATACACGCATTATCAGTGACACTCTCCTTGGTCATGGAACATTAGCCAATAGGTCCCTGGGGGTAAGCACAGGGCTAGATGTATGTGTCTATGGGGGACAAGTATGCTCCCGAGTAAGCTGACCCGTTGGGTTAAAGGAAGGCACTGGTCACTAACAGTACGCTTGATTGTAGCTGGTCAACCTATGATGAGGTGTTTGAGCGTTCTCCCTCAGCACCCCCATTGATAGCTCTTTTGTCGGAAGAGTTACTATTGGTTGGTATTCTGACCCGGCCGGTAGCCGGCGTCTCTGTGCCAAATTTCCAGCGCTTGTCCGAGCAGTCCGTAACATATCGAGCGCACAATATGTGATTGGTCCAAGGTGCACAGTACCAGTGGCATATTTAGGCACCATGTTAGTATTGCCTTTGGTCGAAACAATATACTACATGAACCATAGTAATAGTAATAATAATGATACCAATAATAGAAATAATAATAATTACAATAATTACAATAATAATTACAATAAAAATAAAAATAATAATAGCAATAATAATAATGATTACAATAATAATTACAATAATAAAATAATAGGCACAGTGCTCAGCAAGTGAAGAACTGTGACAATATTTGGCACAGAATCTACACGCTCAGATGATGTCATGCTCTTGAAGAGCAATAGCAATTTACCTACTTATCTTTGGCTGCATTCCTGGCAAGGTACTTGCCCCGTATGTTCGTCTTTTGCGATGGTAGAAGGCAAATTTGCAGTTTGAGTATGTTGAAAACACTGTGGACTAATTACAATGCGTGAAGTGGTGGCAGTACACCCATTAGATGTGATCTACTGTTTCGTTGAATGGATGTTCAATTAAGCCTCCCCACGAAAAAACCACATAATATTGTCAAGGTAGAGGTGGCTTCCCAACTTACTGCGAAAGAATTACACAGTCTCACACGACATGATTGTGAATGGCAGCCGATTCCACAGAGAGGTATCTACGGTGAGACGAAAGTTAAACCGCAAATTTGTCCTGCATCGTGGTATAATCAGGCTAAGGTCATTATTACCTAGGTCCCGCGTGTAATTTTGCTTTCATTTTAAGGTAAATCGATTGCAATGGGTATTGGCACGATCCAGATTGTGCAGCGGTCTCAAGTTATCTTTTAGTCTTCGAAGCCAAAGCGGATCGAGATGGAGTTGCTGGCATCGCTCCCGAGCGTTTATGATCGAATTTTTCCCAATACATGCTTAGTAAATGAGTGTTGAAGCCCTTCTATCAATCTTCTGTCTGGTTTCCCCATATTGCCTCAGATTATGCTCCGATACTCCAAGATGGGTCGAGTAAAGATTTTAAATAGTTCAATTAGCTGTGCTTGTAAGCATGTTACGAGAGATGTTAGCGAAGGATTGTCTGCCTCGTGCTATCTGATACTCAATCTGTTCTAAGAGACATGAAGGTACAAGAATATCCGGTTCACGGGTAGACCGTCGTACACAAATGCGCTCGCTGTTACGTGTGATAGGTACATTGTTTGTCAAGCGACTGCGACATATGATACTTGACTGTTGTGGTTAAAACGTCATCATCCACTTTTCGCACTAAGTTTCAAGCTAAGGAATGTATTGTTGCATGATTGGTAGTAAATTCGGAAGCTCAACTCGTCGGTACTTGCGGAAAAGTGTTATATCATCAACAAATAAAGACGGCACGCCATGTTTGTTAACCAAACTGCTATTATTGACACAAACAAGGAAAATTAATGTACCGGGCGCACATCCTTGTTCAACCGAGCTGGTAAGTGGACGCGGGGAAGAGCAACAGTCGCCAAAGATGACTAATTTAGCGGGACCGTTCATGTATCATGATAGCCAACCAATTAATGTGTTCCGGAACTCAAACAAATCTATTTGAATCGGTAACCGTTTGTGAGGCACCCGATCGAATGTTTTCTGCATGTCCAAGCATAGAATTAATATGGCATATTTGAGTCAATGGAGTCTGGTATGTAGTTCAGGTAATGCAGCTACCAGAATGTGTACGATCGTTAGTCAAGAAAACCATTTTAGGACCTGTCTATCAGCTCCAGTGAGTTGATGAAATTCCTCACACTTTTTTACCAAGTTCACGAATAATCTGGCTATTATAGGAGTGTTATGGCTTGGCCTGTAATTGTCAATCTCCTGTTTTGCGCAGCCCTTGTGGCGAGGGCTGATAAATGAAGTTTTCCATTGATCTGCAAAGTACTTGGATCCCAGTGAAACGGCAAACATATACAAAGGAGCAGTGACATATCAGGCCCTCCCAGTTTCATGGCGGATGGGAGATGCCATCAGCTTCCAGAATTGAGCACGGTTGAATAGAATGTGTTGCTTGGTGGATATTGCGGAGAGCAATAGCACTTCAGATGGAGCCTTAGTGTAATTATAGTGTTAGTGCCAAGGTTCATGGAGATGGAGAAGAACGAGCTAAATGCTTTACAGATGGCGCTTGGATGACGTCCACTAGTTCAGTGATCAATGAAAAGCGTTTGTTGGTTCTTCGACGGGGAAATCTGACCAGCTCTTTTGCTTTACATGTCATTCGTAGGGTTGCTTGCTCTTCATGTGTTCTCCCCATCAATCGTAAACGCTTGATTTCAGAGATGAGTCTGTGCATCTGTGGAATCATGGTCAAATATCCTATCCTGTTTAGCGCGCGATCGGTTTGCTGGATTTCTGACTCATCGAACGTTCAGCTGCATCTTTTTAAACGTCACTGATTCGTTTTTCTAGTGCAGCAACGAGGGTTATGGCTTGCTGAACCTAATGATAGAAGTGCTCCACGGCTGTACAGGCATTGTTGGAGAGAAAGAAAGCATCCCAATCGCAGGAGGGGATTACTTGACGGAAGGGTTCCCAGTTAAAACTGCGGCTGGTGTAGTAGGAAGGAGGTGCTTGTTTTTTGGCCATTTTAACGGTGAGGGTTAAGAGTATCGTGTTGCCATCGCTACCAGGGATGTTCTCTTAAACCTTTCTCTGTACGTTGGCCATACCCAATGTAAACGTCACATGTAATGTGTTTATCAACCTAGTTGATATAGTGAACCACTGTGTCCCACCAACTCTGACTGATTAGATGGAGGCCCTGTGTATAAACAAGAAGGTCTGGGAAGACCAGTTTATCTTCAGTATTTTGAAATCCCCTACAATTACAGTTTGTTGGTGTGTCAATTCCGATGCAAAAGTGATAGCTGAGGTGATACAGACAACATCCATAGTTGATGAATTTGGCGGGTTGCATAAGGATGCAAGTAAACCGATGCCACTGAGACAGAAAACCAGAGAGAATCAGGGACCTTTGTCACTGGTGGATGTTCAGACTATTCAGTTGTACATGTGTGATTGAGTTACATGAAGCGTTCTCCACCTTTGCTTTTACAGCGATCTTTACGAAACGTGTGTTAAAGATGGGAGTAATTGGATTACAGTCTAGTATATCAGCGAGGTACCACGTTTCGGTAGGGAGGATGGCATGCAGCTCGTTCAAATGTGCAAGCATGCTTAGGAAATATCGTTTGTTGATAACCCAGCTGGCGTTATTCAAGAGTAGTGAAAACATAACATAAAGGATGAAATCAGTGTTTGCGTCACGGTTGTGTGAGTCATTGTAATCTCGGATAATTTGAGCGGCAAATATGTGTGGGAGCACTGGAAAGCAATCCATTGCTAATAACCTTGTGGATAGGGATAGTGTGCTGTCCGCGTTCGCCGGTATACCATGTGAAAGAAGGGGTTGATGTACCAAGGATTAACTGCCGTTGACTTATCGCTGAGCTTATCTGGTAATGTGAAGAAATGGTAGAAATAACGGATGCAAATGCTTGTCATTTGCAGTGTATGTAGGGTGTTTGAATGGACGCGGTTACACTCATATATATATATATATATATATATATATATATATATATTTATATATGTGATTTCCACTGCGTTATCTCCTGGCACTACTCCATGATGTTAGCCATACCAGCGCATTCCAGTGCCTTGTTTTGTGGTGTCACTTTAGTCGTTTACATCAAGTGGGAAACGGAAGACATGGAAAATGTG